AGAAACTGTGTAAAAGGCCTGCAAGGACATAGAAACAAGTCAGATATTGATGGTGTACATCTGATGCGAAAAAAAATCTTTTTACCTCTTATTCAGTAAAAATGGAGTATACTTAAATTACCACATTTGCTCACAGATATAAGCCATCTATCAAATTAAGACTAAAGTTAGCATATATTACCTTCAGCAATTTCTCTGAATTTTGCTTCTGCACCAGGACTCTTATTTTTGTCTGGGTGGTATTTCATAGCCAGCTTGTGAAATGCCTTCTTGATCTGACGGTCAGATGCATTTTTTGGAACTCCTAGGATATCATAATAGCTCTCTGTAGCGAGTATTAATTCAGTTATCATCAAAATGCAGAGAGCAAATGTGAAGACAGATTGCGTAGTTGCCATTTCTCTGGTTCCTAGAAAGAAAAAGAAATATACTTGAAGAACAAGTTATTTCAGGTTCCACAACAACTTAAAGGTACAACTCTGAGCTAGAAGAGGAAGACCTGTATGCTTCAGGAGTCACTCGGTGACAGACATGTAAGCACACTGCTTCACATGTCAAACTCCGTTCCCCTAGTTTCATAATCACAGAATATGTAAATGAAAATACTGCAAATTCACATTTCACATGCATCACAAGCATGCTTCAGTGTTCATCTTTGTCTTACATGTATCCTTAACTGTACATTCTCCCACAGAGCTGCTGAAGTAAATACACAATACATTTCCCTGTATCAAACAGTTCATGCACCTGAACTAGCTTTAAACTAACCCTTGAATTCTAGGACACAGCAGCTCTAAACTAAGCACAGGTTGCAAAAACCCACTCAATACTGGAAGATCAATTCACTGATTAGCTTGTGCAACTGTAAGAACCTGAAAACAAAACTGGTCTGGAGATCCACTGTGAGGTGCAAGATGACAAGACACCCACACTCAGCTTCAGAAGGTCATTTAACTGACCTAAGGTGACCAAGATAAAGAGTAAAACATTCATTTAAAGTATAGAGTTCAGTCAAGCAGGGCACATTTTCCTTCACAATGGGCTGGGTTTCGCCTACTTTCCTATTAGATTGTACTATAAATAAAAACACCTCTCATATATTCAATATCAAAGAATTCATCTGATAAATATCACTGCACATAAAGGTTTACATATGAAACTCTCAATGTCTGAATGGAACTCAAAAAATAACTTCTACACAAGACAAGTAGCTTCAACAGTAATTAAAAGTTGTAACTAATTTTTTTTTTCAGAAATGTATTTGTCAAAATGCTATATCTGAAAAACAAGCTTATGCTAGAACTCAGGGAAAAAGCCACGGCATAAATAATTAGTAAGAAAGATCAGTTCCACTTAGTCACATGATCTTTCATGATTTTTATGAAGGACAGGGTGAGCTCTTCCTAACAGAAGAAATCCAATTATTTTCCAAGGCTTGTTCATACTATATTTAAAACAGAGTACAGAAACATGAATGTTCAAAGACAGAATGCTGGTTGCCACCTAACCACAGGATGTACGAGAAAGCCCTGAACATGCCAGAAGTAACATGACCAGATTCCACTAATTTCAGTGTACCATAAGTACAACTCAAAGAAATGAACGGTACGACTCTCCTGAAAGCTGAATAAACTAACCTTACAGTCTGAGGACCACTAGTTAGAATTCTTTTACACGGTATGTGGCCCAAAATTGGTCACGTAGAGTTCAAAACCTCAGTTACAAGACAATTAAAGCCTTTAATAGAAGTCCATACCCTCTAAAGAAAATTAACACCCAAGTACCAAAAACTTTAAAAAATACCATTTCTAATAGGTAAGTCATAGGGCTAAAATGAATATTGTGAGGCAAGAGCAAAAAGCTCCCAAGATCAATGTACCCGTGCCCCCTTAAGCATTTATTTGGCCAGCAGCCTGCATGATATCAAGTGTTAAGGAGCAGCAGTTGAAACAAATTGTATTTTGATCAGTGTACTTAGATACCAAAGGGACAGTTCTCTTCAGTATCCTTCGTGCATGATACCAGACATATTTTTAGTACAAGCCTTTCCAAGGCTTTTGCACATATTTTCTCTCACCAGCTAACTAACCTGAAACTTTGCTACTTGGGCACTAAGAACTACATACATCTACATCCTTCCACACTTTTAGAGCTTTAGAATTTCTGTAATGCAGTTTTATGCTATACTGCTCCTGGTTTTATCTGAATTTCTAAAGCATATTGAAAAAAATCGGTATTTAAATTTCACTGTTTTTTAAATACTGTAGACAGATTTAATACTGCCCTTGAACAACTCAATGGAACTCAAACATAAGAATAAAATTAAACATAAATGAAAGTCAAATACAAATGAAACTCCAATATAAGCAGCATATTAAACTTTCAAGGTTACCACAACAACATATTACATCTTATATCTAGACACTACCACCAACTATTGAATTTACTTTTTAGAAAATACCTATCTTGCATGCTGTCAGCATCTTAGCAATGCTACTGTTAACCAAGATGTTAAATGCCTCACCTCCGCCCTGCCATCCCCAGCTATTTTTACAAATCCTTTCAAAACAAATTCGCTCTTAAACACTTATTCTGGTTATTTCTCTTCTCCCTCAGTTTCTCAAGCAAAAAATAAGTTTCACTTTCCAGGCTACACACAGTCATTACTTAAAACACACTCCAGAAATCGTTAATTTCTATATACTTCTTGACATTAAACTCATACCACAAAACAGTCCCTCCTAACAATTATTAAGAACTACATTTTATCTGGGTACATCTAGCAATAAAGTTGGACATTTTATTAACACAGATTAACTATTTAACTCTGTTGGATAAGCAGTTACGGATTTTAACTACTATTAAACTAGGTAGAAGAAGCATACTGTCTATAATGTTTATCTAAAGTATTATAAAGGTGATAACACTCAATCAGTTCTCTATCAATTTATCACCATTTATCAATAGCTACACAATGAAGTGATCTTTAAAGATGATACAACCGGAATAAAATCTGTCACATGTAGAAAATAAGGAGCTACTTCCACCTTGCAGTGTAAATGCCCTATTCAATCCCTCTTTGAAAGAAATTAGCAAAGATCTTGGGTATACACTTATATTCAGGAAGTCTCACATACACAGCAATTCCACAGCATCGCTACTGCCCTGTTTACGTGAATTGTGATGCACTATCCAGCGGAATCCTGATGTCATAAAATTATTTTTGCAATCGATTTATTAGTAGTAAGAAAGTTGCCGAAGTTTCCCATTGGTTTTCATATCACGACTAATCCAATGAGTAAGCAAGTCACCTAGTCCACAACCAGCTACAGGGAAGTCTGACAAACTCTGGGGCTTGTACTTTTCCTGGCCTCTCCTACACTGACCAGAAAGGAAATCCAGGAGAAGGCTCCTGAACCTTGCTCTGGAGAACAGAGAAACGAAACAGAGCCTCGCCTGGCACCATCCTCCCCAGCCAGGCCCCTGATGAACATCGCTACAGCCCTACGACAAAAAAAGGCCGAGCCAGACCCCGGCAGATGATACCAGCGACACTCAGCGACACTGTCCCACCTCCAGGTCGGCCAGGCTTGGTAAAGACCACAGCAGATAGGCCTAGAGAGAAATGAGAGCCCACGGGGCCCAAAGGACAAATAACCCCGCCAGACCGCGACACAGTGCTCCCCTTTTCCCACACCGCCCCCAGCCTCCCCCAGCCGTCCCA